CTCTGCAGCCGCCGTGCCGGCAGAGCTCCAGAGTCGTGTTGCCGACGTGGAAGCCGAGGATCTCGACCTGCAGGGCACGGCGGCGCCGCGGGGAACGCGTGCGGCGGGCGGCGGCCGGAGGGGCCTCCCAAGCTCTCTCTCTCTCCGGCTGCCCAGCGCCTTTTGAGGGAAGCGAAGAACTCGCCATCGCTCGGACGTCCATTCCCTGTGTTTTTGTGCGGTCTCGTGCGTGGTTTCTATGCCAAATGATCAAGGATGCTCCTCGATGGTCCTCGCCGAGGAGAAAACGCACACGTCCGAGCGATGCCAAGAGAAGGGCACAAGCTAGTAAAAAAAGCTCGGAGGTCCGCGCGGACTTCCCTGGCGCGCGGAGCGCGCCAGGGGCGGCGCCGGGGAGGCGCCGCCGGGGGGGGGGGGGTCCGATCCGAGCAACCCGCGCGGGCCTCCGAGGGCTTGTGCTCGCGTCATTCTGCGTTCCCCGATCCTCGGCCCTCCAGACTTCCAGCTCAAAGTCCCACGCATTGACTAAAACAGAAATGTATTTTCTGTGCTTTGTCAATAGGAACTGCAAAAGAGGCAAACAACAAACAAACAAAAACGGCGTTTGCTTTTGCCTGCCGCGGCCTCTGGAGACCCCCACGGTGGGCCCAAGGACGGACCGTCAACGAAAAACGACGACTTCCGGGATGAGAGAAGCCATCTCCCAGTAGCAAGTCGAGACTTCTGAGGGGGCAGCACTGCAACAAAAATCAAGGCATCGGGCCTCCACACGGCTCCCAAGAGGCCTCAAAAGTGCTGCCAGGAGAGCCCAGAAACCCAGGAGCAGAACCGCGATCCGCCAACCGCCCCCGACGAAATCCCAAGAAGCTGAAACGTTACGATTCCAGCACGTTCCGCACACTCCGTGTTTCACTCTCACTGCCGCCCCAAGGGGTCGGCGGTGCGGCGTCAGCCAATGAATCCAGGCGTCGGATCTCTGGGTCGGAGGAGCTCCCCATTCTCTCCAGCTGCCCAGCCTCTCGGCCCTTCAGACTTCACCTCCTGCGCAGAACGACATCCTGTCAAGCCCTCCTTCGTCGCAGACTGATCTTCGGCAGCGCCCCCGCGCCTAAATACCCTCGAAGCGAACACCATGGCTTGACATGCTGCTCGTCTGGTCGGGGAGCTGCGCGTTCTGTTTACTCAGCATGCTCTCAGTGTTCCTTCTGGCGGGGGGCTGGTCGAGGCGTGGCCCGCATACTACGTTCTGAACGCCGCACTGTCTCAGTTCAGCAGGAGCATCGGTCAAAGGTGCCCCACGGACAACATCGAGCTGAAAGGAAGAAGAGAGTGGGTGTACGAATGCTGTGAGCCCCCTCTGGGTGCGCACGCCCGAACCAACCATTTAGCACACACACACACACACGCACGCACACATATGATAGTACTGACGACCTACGTGACCACCCCCGACCCAACCCGAACGCCCAAATTTCGGGTTGGGGGGGGGGTACGGGTTCCACATGTGTTTATTTCGAAGTTCCCCGACGCCCCCCACCCCCCACCCACTGGGAATGGAAAACAACGTGGGGCCTTCGGGGTGGGTTGAGACAGGAGAGCCAAGAATCGAACCGTTCAGTCGGACCGGCAATCAAAACAAATCGGATCGGAGGACTTTGGCAGCCGAGTCGGGAAAAGTCGAATCGGCGGAAATCGGCAGGTTAGTAAGCCTCCATTTGGACATCGGAGCCCGAATCGGAATCCGAAGTCGAATCAAATCGGAAGCGGAAGCAATCGAAATCGAATCGAAGTGAATCGAATTGGGGGAATCGAAACGAGCCCTGCTGGGGTGGTTTGGTGGGTGGTGACGCATACTTTCCCAGGCGGTCTGGCCAGCCGCCAAGCCGTGTCGCAGCATGAGCTCTGAACGCGCGTGTCGCCACACTGCACAAGTTATCCTCGTCCTCCTCGCCTCCTCCTTCGCCTCTCTCTCCTCCTCCTCCTCCTCCTCCTCCTCCTGCTCCTCCTCCTGCTCCTCCTGCTCCTCCTCCTCCTCCTGCTCCTGCTCCTCCTCCTCCTCCCTTTGCGTTCCCCTCGCCTCTCCCCTCCCCCTCGGCTCGCCAGACTTCCTCCTCAGATGACCGCGGTCTGGGGACCTTCCTGCGCCCACTCGCTCCACTCGTGCGTCGGTTCTGCAGCAGGCATCCACTGACCTGAGTCGAGCTAGGGCCGAAGCAGAAGCGAACTAGAGCCGAACAGATCCGTCAAGTGGGCCTCAGGAAGGCCGCCAAGACAACCGTCTACTACAGCATGCCCGCCGTCCAACTCTCCATCTCCTCTACAGGAGCGAGAAACCGGCACGCACACGTGAACATTCGAGACACCGTCAAATGAGCCTCATGAAGGCCCCAGAAACAACCGTCTGATCCAGCCTTCCCGCAGTCGAGCTTCCCAGCTCCTCTACAGGAACACAGAAAAGGCATCATATGCACGTTCAGTATACGCCTCCTCCCCCTCCTCCTCCTCCTCCTCCTCCTCCTCCTCCTCCTCCTCATCATCATCATCATCATCCTCCTCCCCCTAACCCTCCTCCTCCTCCTCCTCCTCCTCCTCCGCCTCCTCCTCCTCGCATACATACTCTCAGAACTCCGCGCCGATGTCTCCGATCTGCGCTGGAACCCCCTGGCGTGCGGAGCGCGCCCAGGGGAGCGGCGCCGGAGGCTCCGCCAGGGGAGCGCCGCGCCCAAGACATCCGAGCGGACCTCCCGAAGTGTACTACTGTATGCAGCATGTCTGGTTCTTCGGAGGCAGGCCAGCACTGGCGAACGAGCAGCACACACCCATACCCATAGGGGGTGTCGACGCGAGGACGACTGGCTATGGGGCGTGGGTGCGGATGGTCGGACCCCAGAGGGGGGCTCCCGTTCGAGCGGGGGCACCTATCCGACAACACGCGCCCATAGCCCTCTCCGTCCTCCTTCTGCGGATCCGTTTCACCCATATCCTGAGTGTAGGTTGCCTGTTATCAGTGTCATACCTCCGCCTCCTCGCTGCCACCTCCTCCTTGATGCTACCTCTCGATGTCGGATCACGCCACATCGCCGACGCATCGCCGACGCATCCCCGATGCATCAGCAACGCATCAGCGATGCATCCGCGACGTCGGCGGCGCATCGGGCACGCCAGCGCGGGGGGGAAATCACGCCCCGCGTCGAGCCGCGTCGCCCACGCGCCGGCGACGCGGCGAAATCATCCGACCCCCATCTACTCGGACCCCACTTGGGAGGTCCCGTCGCTCCCCCCCCCCTCACCCCCCCGTCGGGGATCTGCTGACCTGGGTCAATCAGACCCGGGTCAGCAAGAAATCAAAAGCTGCAATGCAAGAACAACAACAGAAAAACAGCAACGCAACGCTTCGCAAACCCGGGTCAGCCAGCATGCGCGGCCGCCTCGCGGCCACGAGCGGCTCGCTGACCGGGGTCAGCCAGAGGGGGCCTTTGCAGGATCCTGCAGGATCCGGTGCCCTGGCTGACCCCCGTTTGCATCGACCCCCGTCTCAGGGCCCCCGACCCTGGTCCCGGCTGCCGCTGCCGGCCCGCCCTGCGTCCGCCCCCGCTCGATAGCAAGCCGCGGGGCCTGCCAGTGGCCCTTCTCCGGGGCCACGACGCGGACCCAGCGCATGGGGGAGTCCAGGTGGTCCGGGTTCACGCCTCCTGCGGGAGGGGGGGGCGCGGGGCCCCATCTTCTCAGACAAGGGGGGGGGGAGGGAGGGAGGAGGGGAGGAGAAGGACGGGGAGAGAGGGTGAAGAGGAACGAGGAGCGGACGGAGGGAATGGGGGGGCGGCGCGGGGAAGAACGAGGGGGAGAGAGAAGGAGGGAGGAGGGGAAAGAAAGGGATACGGGGAAGGGACGGACGACGGCGACGGCGAGGAGGGAGGAGGACGTGGACACCGGCGACGAACACGATGAGGGAGGATGTGGGAAGTGGGGGAGACTTGGAAGAGAAGCCCGGAGGAACGACCGCTGATCCAGAGGAGGAAGAGGAGAAGGAGGAGGAGGAGGAGGAGGAGGAGGAGGAGGAGGAGAGGAGGAGAGAGAGGAGGAGGAGGAGGAGGAGGGGGAGGGAGGAGGAGGAGGAGGAGGAGGAGGAGGAGGAGGACGAGGAGGAGGAGGACGAGGAGGAGGAGGAGGAGGAGGAGGAAAAGGAGGAGGAGGAGGAGGAGCACGACGACAACGGGGAGCAGGGGGGGAGGGGGCACTGCCTCGGGGGCCACGCCGAGGCACCTGCCAAGTCGGCGCGGAGCTGCGGCCAGGCCGTCGCGAGGCCGAGCGCTCTTGTGGGGAACGGGGCCTACGGCGGCGAGGCGCGCGGGGCTGCTGGGGGCGCGGGCGCAGCTGGGGCAGCAGGAAGGCGTGGGGGACGCCCTGGCCTTGTGTTATTCGATCGTACTGAAGGACCAAATCCCAGAAATCATCTCGAGCACCCAGAAAAGCGTCAAAACAGTGTGAAAAAAAGAGTATCGCCTCCCGGGGCCCGACGCGTGCAAACACCCTGCAGTTTCGGCACCTTCGGGGTCCTCGAAGCTCTGTGTGGTGGTCAAGGCGAAAGCAGGTCGGAACATCATACCGCAGGTTAGCGTCGTGTCGACCCAGGCGATGGTTCTTGACACCGCGGGAATCGTTCAACCTTGAACGATCGGCCGTTTCCGAAACGCCACATCGTTGAACATCGATCGATTCTGGGCCACTGGCGGCGTTCAACCGTGAACTCCGGCGGCGGGGTCGCCGCTGGTCGACACGACACGAACATACCGTACCCCTGGCCCGGGTTAGTGCCAGACCCTGGCCCGGCCCAGGCGTTGCAGGATCCCACAACATCCGCCAGGGTCCCGCGGGATCCCGCGCGTTCGCCGGGGTCCGTGCAAGCCTGGCTTGGCGAGATCCTGCAGGGTCTGGCGCTCTGGCCGGCCCCGGCTTGCACAGCCCCTTATTAGCATGACGACGACTACTACTACTACTACTACTACTACTACTACTACTACTACTACTACTACTACTACTACTACTACTACTACTACTACTACTACTACTACTACTACTACTACTACTACTACTACTACTACTACTACTACTACTACTACTACTACTACTACTACTACTACTACTACTACTACTACTACTACTACTACTACTACGACTACTACTACTACTACTACTACTACTACTACCACTACTACTACTACTACTACTACTACTACTACTACTACTACTACTACTACTACTACTACTACTACTACTACTACTACTGTATCCACTCTTGGGGACGTGTAGTCAGCAGTGCGAGTGCCGCTTAGTGCCGCGTAGTGCCGCTTAGTGCCGCTCAGCGCTGGCCCCCAGGGGCGCTGCGATCAGCGAGACTGCCGCCACTTGCGTGGGCTCTTGGGAAACCCAGCAGAATGTCGTCTTACGGGGATCACCATGAGATTTCGCCGCCCCTGGGGCGCTGTGATCTGCGAAAATGCCGCCGTATTCGTGGGCCCCTGGGAATCCCAGCGGAATGACGGGGGGGCCCCACGACACCTCGCCGTCCCAAGGAGCTGCGATCTGCGAAACTGCAGCCACTTTCATGGGCTCCTAGTGGGCCCAGCAGAACGACGTCCGACGGGGATCACCCTGAGACCTCGCCGCGCCTGGGAGGCTGCGACCTGCGCACCTCGCGCAAGCCTGCCCCGCTCCTGCGAAGCCCTGCCGCCCGAAAGCCCGAATTGATTGCAAAAGTTCTGGTTTGTCCCCCCTTGCAAGAGGGCAGCAAGCCGATTCAATATTTTTCCCTCGCGCGGTCGCTCTCACGCAATGAAGTCAGCGCAATCTTGAGAAAGCTTCGGGCGCCGTGCATTACCACGCGCGCCAGCGCCGTGCATTACCGCGTGCGCAAATTCTGGGAAATCGTACCTGGATGGAATACACGCGCCACGCGCCCCGGAAGATGGCCAAAACAGACAGCTACGCGCTCGGCCATTAACGCCGCATCGCACTCGCTGGAACGGCGGCCTCTGCTCCGCATCCACGCTCCGGTCCTCAGCACGGCCTTGCCGAATAGGTTCGCGGCCCTCTGCGCGGACGACTCCTTCTGCGAGGTCATGCTTGCCGACGCCTCGGGCTCGGGGCACGCGAGCGAGGTCTTGAGAGCCGTCGGACTGGTGCGGGTGGTGGGTTTGACTTTGCACTTTCTGAACTCTTTCGTTTCCCCTTTCTCAGATCCTTCGAGGAACTCCACGGTCACGAACCTGTTGCGGTTGCACTTGGTGACTTTGGCCAGCTTGTCGTGGAACTTGTCCTTGAAATTGCCGGCTATCGTGATGCGCAAGACGCCCTCCTGAATCCAAGCGTCGGCGCTCGCTCCCGGCTCGCCCTTCTCGTTCGCGGTGCCCGGCGCCGCAATCTCCGCGACCCCTGCGCTCTGCGCGCCACCGCCAGCCCGGGCTTTGTCCGGGGTGTCCGCCTCCGCGGGCTCCTTCTTCACCGCCGTCGCCACGGCCGCCTCCTTCTTGGCCTGCTCCTGATCCTGCTCGCCGCCTCCTTCGCCGCCGTCTCCTGCTGCCTCCGCGGGCTCCTCCTTCACGGGCCCCTCCTTGGGCTCCTTCTTCGCCGCGGCCGCCTCCTTCTTGGCCTGCTCCTGCTTCGCCAGCTCCTCCGCCTCCTTTTTCCTGGCCCCCTCCTCCTCCTTCGCTTTCGTCGCCGCAAGCTCGCCGCGGAGCCACTCCGCAGCTGCCCCTGGCAAGCGTCTCGGGGAGCCGCCGAGCACCTCGGCAGCGCGCCTGAGGAACGCCTGGGCCTCGGGGTGACTACGGGCGAGATCGCAAGCTGGAGGGGGCTCGGGATCCTCTGCCATCAGCTCGAGTTTACTCGCGGCGACGCGCGAGAAAATTGGATGGAAAATGGGAGCGAAGCCGGCAAACTTGGTCAGGCAGACCGTTTTGTTCTCCACCTGGGCCTGGAAGAGCATCTTCATCGTTGCAAGCAAGTCCTTCGCCACGACGTGCTTCACCTTCCCCGCGCAAGCGTCGCCGGCCGCAACGACCCGCATGGCCATATTCGTGAAGTCGCTGGGCGTCACGGTTGTGAACGCGCCGTCCACCATGCAGAATCCCTTGTACTTCAGGATTCCACCGTCCGACGGCTTCCACTCTGAAAAGAAGCCGACATGGTTCGGGTCGCCCATCAGGAAGATCAGCTTCTCGCTCATGTACGCGGGGCCGAAGAACGTTCGCGCCACCTGCAACGACGCCCTCTGGCGCCCCTCAACGCGCATCGCGAGCAAGCGCTTCGCGGCGGAGAGGCGCACCGCGTCGGCCTGGACGAATTTTTTGAATAAGTTCGTCGCCCAAAACGGGCAACGGGCAAACCAGAACTTTCAATCGAGGTTCTGGTTTGCTTTCTCGGGAAAGGCCATGGCCAGCAGAACCCCGGGGGACGTGGGATGCGAAAAGCTTTCGTTTCTCCAAACCTTCGCAGTGTCCTCCTGCGCCGCCTTCAGGAGCCCGCTGATGCGCATCTCCACGATCTGTGCGATCAATGTCGACTTGTGCAAGTCGGCTATCTCCTGCAACTCGAGGTTGGACTCGTCAATGTCGACAATGGAACCTGCGCCCTTGTCCACCAAGTCAATCAAGACGCTGGCAAGCGCGGGGGAGAGTTTGGGGATCTCAACCTGAATCTTTTTGTGCAAACTGGTGAAGGCCGACAGGTGTTCCGCGCACGGCCGAGCCAGCAAGTGCCTGATGCTGAAGGGCAAGAACTCCTTGCTGAACGGATCGAGCTGGCTGGCGAACTTGTCCTGGTCATCCAAGGAGGCGCCGCCGTTGTTAACTCTCTTCCACTCGCGCCACTGCCTTGAAAGGTTATCCACAAAATTCCGCATCCAAAACTCTGCGCTCGACTGGAGAGCGTGGCTGCTCACCAGGTTCCCTCTCTCGCACTCAGCGTCGAACTCCGTCGCGCACATCCCCACGGCGTCCTGCAACTTTTTCACAGTGTCCGGAGGGCGCTCCAAGATGCGAGGGCGCTTCGCCTCCGGCGGCCCGTCTCCGCGGGCCGCCGGCGCAGGCTGGCCTTCGCTGCGGAGCCCTTCCTTGTCGCCGGCGTCGTTGCCTCCAGGCGCCGCCGCGGACCCATCCCCGCTGCTGCGCGCGTGCGCCCCGTTGCCGAGGGCGCGGGGGTTCACTGATTTGGACTTCCGGATGCCCATTCTTGCTCTGATCTCGTGCACCCCGTCGCCGAGATCAACCAACCTCTGGGCCCGCTTGTCCATGATGTAGAAACTGGACGCGCCCACGTTCGGTGGCAGGTGCTCGAAAGACTCGGGTGGCATGGTGCACTCCTTGACAGTCTTGTGCGTCGCGAGCTGCTCGTCACCATTTGGGGCGACAAGATACGACTGTTCGAAACTCGCGGTGGCGAAGTAAGAGCATTTCCAATCCTTGAGCTGAGAGGCGAGGATGCGCACGTCCGCGCGGGCGCCATCCTTCATCGCGGATCGCAACGCACACCACAGCTCACGCATCTGCGGGGTGTTCTCGATCTCTGGACCGGTCTTTTTCATCCTCCGAAGAGCTTCGCTGGCTTTGTCCATCTCCGCCCTGGGAAAACCCTGATCCATTGCCTCCGCCAGGGCCTCGGCGGTCACAGGCGCAGGCGGCGTGTCAGGCACCACCCAGGCAACCAACCGATACGTCACGAACAAGCGATCTTGCTTGCGACAAAAGGCTTGAGCCACTGTGTACACGGTATGGCGACGGACGCGAGGAAACCTTTCCCTTCCCCTCCCCGCACCCCCCGGGGGGTCGAAAACATAAAGCCCGGCGTGTTTTCATTGTTGGCGGCCTCCAGAGACCGCCTCTGGGCCCCAGGGTTGTCCAGAACCGATCCCGGGCGAGAAAACGTGTCCTCGGAAAATGTCCCTCCCTCCGTCCTTCCTGCTCCGTCCTTCCTGCTCTGGCATTTCTTGAGCGGGCCCCCCGTGCCAGAATTTGTGTTGAAAATTCTGGTTTGCGTCGGGCCTCTGGATTGCCGGGGGCTTTCCCAAGCTAGGTGCGCCCGCGCCACGTCTGCCATCCTGCCATCCTACTCCTCCCTCCCATCTGTCCTATTCCTATTCCGCTCACCTACGCTCCTGGATGGGCTGGTGGGGATTACGCTAAGCGTCCAGAATATAACCTCCTCCTCCCCCACCACATCCTCCTTCCGCTCCTCCCGCTCGAGGCCCGCATCCAGGGCGACGCAACCGGTCCTCGGTAAATGTTCCTCCACCGCATCGCATATACTGCACCGCGCGTATTGCACCAGGTCGGCGCACGCAGAGGGCGGCATGCGAGCGGGCCCTTGGGGATGTCCTGAACGGGGCCTCCCCAGAGCGGACAGCAAAAGACCCCTGGCGGCGGCAGCGGCGGCGGCGGCGGCGGCGGCGACGACGGTGGCGACGAGGGGGGGATAGCAAAGGGGGGGTTGAGAATCAGCTCGCGCAGCTGATTTTCCCGGCGCCTCCCGGCGCCGGAGGCGGCCATGCATCGAGGAATGGGCCCCTCGGTGAGGCCGAAACCAGCTGCGTGCAGCAAATTTCGCACCCCCCCCTTTCCCAATCCCCCCCTTTGGCCCGGCCCGAACGGCGACGACGACGATCTCCGTTTCTTGTTCTCCGGCTGTCAGCGCCGCGCTCCTCCCCGGAGCGGACTGCATTCTCTGGGAATGACTCGCGGCGTTAGCCGTAGCCTGCGAGGCGCCAGTCCTCTCGGAACTCGAGCGCCGGGGCCTTCCACAGACACGCGCGAAACACAATCCATTGGACGAACTTGCAGACCATGAACTGGTACGCGTAATAGTTCCACACCATATCGGACAGCCAGGGGGTCGCAGCACGTCCTGCGAGCAACCGCGCGCTCACCACCTCGAAGTGGCGCCGCATGCTCTTGCCGGACTGCTTCAGGAAGGCGTTGAATCTACGGGGGCTTGGGCCGAGGATCTTTTCCAATTGCGCCCGCGCGACCTCCTCGCCCACGTGCCCCCCAATATCCAAGCCGAAAGCTGCGCCCAACCACGGGGAGACGTGGTTGGATCGAAACTCCGCCATGCCGCCGATCTTGGGAGACGCGAACACTGCGAAAATGTCCGGGACCGACGGCGCCGCTGCGATGGCGCCCTGCGGGAAATGATGGACGAGGTCACACATCGGAGCCGTGAGCCGGCTCCAGTTTCCGTGGGACAACTCCTTCACCATCTTTGTCTCCGAAGTCTCGTTGTCCCCGAGGTCGAAGACGCGCTGGCTCCTGACAACGACATAACCCAGAGGGTCTTTGGATCAGAAATTCGGATCGGGCGTGAAAATGCATGTTTATGACATGTATGCCTTAAAAGTGATCTGGTATTTTTGCGCATGTAAAAATATGTCAAATATTTCAGAATCACGCGCAATATTAATGTAGGCTGCAAGGTTCACTGCCAAAATACGCCGCAGGCCCCGATTCATTCAAATTCGTAAATCATCATCTGATGGTGCCTAAGCTATAAGACATAAGGCCATTCAGCGCGATTGGTGGGCGGAAAGGGTGGGATGTCAGCTGTGGCTCTGCCGCGCCTAGCTTGCCTCCTGCGTTTTTGCTCTGCTGTCATTGCTGGTCCTGTCGCCGTCGCCGTCGCTGTCGCGCCGCCAGCGCGGTATATACTGGGCATCGTCGTCGTCTATCTCGTCGTCGCCGCGTCGTCGTGTGCCGTTGTCGCCCCAATCGTCGTGGTCTTCTTGCGTTTCTGCGTCGTCCTTCTCGCCCCCCCGCTCTGCCGCTGCTCCTCCCCCGTGTCTTTTTTGACGCCGCCCGAGCAATCACAATTCTCATTGCTTGCTCCTGTGCCCCAGCCTTCGTCTTTTTTGTGTGAAGCCGCGCTGGCTCGATCATGGTACTTCGGGGGCAAGTGCCGCGACAGGCGCGGCAAACACCTATCGGCAAGGCGCTCGTGTCAGGAGAGCGCCTCGAGATGAGCGACGAGGTGCCCTCGCCCGCGCGGCGAACGCGGCACCGTCGCTCGATCGCGATTCCAGGGCCAGAGACGGTAGTCGAGGGTGGGCCCATCTCGGAGCAGCAGGTTTGCGCAGAGACGTTGCCAGACGCTCTGCCGCCGCCGAGCGCAGAATAGCTCGAGCGGCTCGCGCTGCCTGACTCCAAGGAGGAGAAGGCTGACCACGACGTGGAGATGGCTGACCCCGACATGCAGCAGGCGCACAAGGAGTCCGAGGACCCGGAGGAGCACAGGAAGCAGGTGGCGGCATTCGATCAGAAGCAGGTTGAGGTTGCCTTGAAGGCAAGCCGCGATCTTGCGGAGAGCAAGGGCATACTCGTCGAGGACTCGCCGCCCGTGGAGAACCTTCAGCAGCCCAGGGCGGGGTCGAGCTGGGGCGAGAGGATGGAGAGCCTGAGCCCAGACACCCGCAGGCGGCGCCTGATCATGGTCGAGGCTGGGATTCACAACCTGGTGGACCACATGCATCGGGCAGCGACAGAGTTGTCGGCAGTGGCTGATGCGACATCTGAGGCCGAGACGCTGCCTGCAGCCGCCAAGGAGCTGAACCGCCAGGCTCACGCGCAGCAGCGGGAGCAGGCAGCGGGGCCATCGCACCGCGGGCGGGAGTCAGACTCGGATGTGGAGCCGCTGAGCCAGAAGGCTTCGCGAGCAGCGGGCGCGCCACTCTCGCAGGAGCCTCCGCGCGCGCTGCAGAAGCCCTTGCGGGAGCCTCAGCCGCGCCTGCAGGAGCCTCAGCCGGCGGCGGCGACGCAGCAGGCGACGCCGCCCGAGGGCGTGATGCAGCAGCAGGAGGCGACGACGCAGACCGAGAAGGAGTGCTCGGTGGGACAGGGCGATGCGGCGGCAGGGAGCAGGCAGCGCACATCAGACGAGAAGATCAGGGCGGTGCTGGAGGACATTGGATACTCATATGATTGAGCGTCACACCTCCCAGTCCCATCCCACATGCAAATCCCAATGCAAATCCCAATGCATTGGGATTCGCGTTGGGATTTGCATTTGGGATGCTGAATCTGTCTTCGGCCCCGTTAGCTCAGGACAACGAGGAGGCCGCCAAGGCCTTCGAGACGCCCGTGAAGCAGCTGAGGTCGTGCATCCAGCACGCCGCGCCGCTGCTGAAGCAGTTCGAGGAGCTTCGCCGCTCCGCTACCTAGCTCTTTGATGCCCACTCGTCGTATCCTCGCCTCCCACATGATGCAACTCTCCTCCGATCTCGTCGTCGTCCTCCTCCTCCACCTCGACACCGTCTTCCGATATCGACGTCGCCCTCCGATTTGACGTAGTTGTTGTCGTCAGCCTCCTCAGTCGATCGTGACAGCCGTTGCGTGTGATTGTCAGATGTCGTCCGCGCGTGCTGTCCGTCCCTCGCCCTGCATAGCCATGCCAGGCCGTCTGATATTAGGGGCCCCTCGTCGTCGTCATAAGCACCGCTGCCGCTGTCACATCCGTAGCGGGGATGGCTCGAGATATGTAGATACGAACTCGCACACAGACGGGCCGCGAATGGGACATGGCAAGGAGGAGCAACTCTTTCGGATATGGGCCTTCCACATCAGCCAGGCACGCGCACGTCGCAAACGTCCGTCTCAGGGGTTCGGAAACAATCCTTAGACATCAATCGTCCCACTGCCTTTCCTCGTCGCCCCCGCTCCCATTCCCATCTACATTATCCTCCTCCTCTTCTTCCACCTATTCTTCCTCCGTCTCCTCCTCCTCCTCCTCCTCCCCCCTCCTCCCCCTCCCCCTCCGCATCCGAAACAATTCGTAAATGCCGAACTCGTGTGACGGGGATTTGCCGAGGCAGATTCAATATCGCATTCCACGGCAAAGATCCACGACGCCAAGATGTCTAAGAAGAACCTTCTCCGCTACGCAGATTTCTTGGTGGAGACCAGACAGGCGCAGACTAAAGTGAAGCCAATCGTCGCTAAGGCACCTGAGCTTCGATTCTCTTGGGGGCAGGGGGGCTTTCAGATGTTTAGGGCATCCGGTTTTAACGGTGTTCTCCGCTCAGGCTGTCTTGAGGCGCGTGGCGGCGCGGTACGAGCCGTCGTGGCACCTGTCTGGCGCCACCGAGGCGTGGATAGAAGATACACGCAGAATGGTACGAAACATGTTGAGGCACGTCGGCCAGGCGCTTTACAAGACAGACCTGGGTGAAACCGCGGCTGGGGGGGCACTCGGGAACACGCAGGGCGTTCGTCGCCAGCAGGAATGGATTCGACTCGTTTTCCTGATCACGAAAAAAAAAAGAACCGAAGCTCGGGGCAGTCACCCTGCACAGGAAAACAAAGTGGGCGCAAGATGCATTCGGAGATGCGAAACACGGAGACGGAGAAGAAGAGGATGACGAGGAGGAGGACGAGGTAAGAGCCAAGGATCACACGAAAAAGACGATGACATCCAAACCAGACGCGAAGGACATTAGGGAGAAGTCGGCCTCACTCTCACTCCATGTCATGGGGATGCGTTTCGGGGGACAAGCCTGGGTCCGATCTGAGTCAGGGGTCAGGTTTCTCAAGGGTTGCGTTCAGGTTTTCCAGGGCGGGGGGGCGAGAGTGACGTGCGACGTCGTCAAGGCTAGTTCGT